ATACGTTTATGTTTGACAAAGCATATACGAAGAAGTTTTGACACGAAGTGAAGATTTGCACTTCGTCAAAAAAGTGAAGGTTCCCGACGGTTTCAAACCGCCATACTTTACATTTTGTACAAAAATATTGTGAGTAAATGAACTCATTATTTTTGCATCATGACAAAACATATACGCTCATGTTTGACAAAACATTTACGTTCATTACGATTAAATCATGACAAAACATTTACGATGAAGTTTTGACAAAACATGTACGATGAAATCATGACAAAACATGTACACTCATGTTTGACAAAGCATATACGCTCATTACGATGAAGAAGTTTCGACAAAACATGTACGCTCATTACGATGAAGAAGTTTCGACAAATCATTTACGTTCATGTTTGACAAAGCATATACGCTCATTACGATGAAGAAATCATGACAAAACATTTACGCTCATTACGATGAAGAAGTCTTGACAAAACATTTACGCTCATTACGATGAAGAAGTTTCGACAAATCATTTACGTTCATGTTTGACAAAGCATATACGCTCATTACGATGAAGAAATCATGAAAATTCATGAGGTGAGAAAAGAGGTGAGATCTAACATTCTAACATAAACATTATTTTTGGATCATTTACGCTCATTACGATGAAGAAATCATGACAAAACATTTACGTTCATGTTTGACAAAGCATATACGCTCATTACGATGAAGAAATCATGAAAATTCATGAGGTGAGAAAAGAGGTGAGAAAAGAGGTGAGATCTCACCTAAACATTATTTTTGGATCATTTACACTCATTACGATGAAGAAGTTTCGACAAATCATTTACACTCATTACGACGAAGAAGTCTTGACAAATCATAAACGAAGAAATCATGACAAAACATGTACGAAGAAGTTTCGACAAAACATTTACGTTCATGTTTGACAAAACATATACGATGAAGAAATCATGAAAATTCATGAGGTGAGAAAAGAGGTGAGAAAAGAGGTGAGATCTAACATTCTAACATAAACATTATTTTTGGATCATTTACGCTCATTACGATGAAATCATGACAAAACATTTACGATGAAATCATGACAAAACATTTACGTTCATGTTTGACAAAACATATACGAAGAAGTCATGAAAATTCAATGAGGTGAGAAAAGAGGTGAGAAAAGAGGTGAGATCTCACCTCTTCACCTAAAATATATTTTTGTCTGATTTACGCTCATTACGATGAAGAAGTCTTGACAAAACATTTACGTTCATTACGATGAAGAAATCATGACAAAACATTTACGCTCATTACGATGAAGAAGTTTCGACAAAACATGTACGATTAAATCATGACAAAACATATACGATGAAGTTTTGACAAAACATGTACGAAGAAGTTTTGACACGAAGTGAAGATTTGCACTTCGTCAAAAAAGTGAAGGTTCCCGACGGTTTCAAACCGCCATACTTTACATTTTGTACAAAAATATTGTGAGTAAATGAACTCATTATTTTTGCATCATGACAAAACATATACGCTCATGTTTGACAAAACATTTACGTTCATTACGATTAAATCATGACAAAACATTTACGATGAAGTTTTGACAAAACATGTACGAAGAAGTTTTGACACGAAGTGAAGATTTGCACTTCGTCAAAAAAGTGAAGGTTCCCGACGGTTTCAAACCGCCATACTTTACATTTTGTACAAAAATATTGTGAGTAAATGAACTCATTATTTTTGCATCATGACAAAACATATACGCTCATGTTTGACAAAACATTTACGTTCATTACGATTAAATCATGACAAAACATTTACGTTATGCTGTAATGTTAGTCATGAATGTTTGTCCTACTTGTTGGTGTTAGTGTTGAAAAATTCATGGAGTACATGGGAAGCAATATAACATACAACAAAGACATATACAGTGAGTTTAAGTACTACTGTGAACAGCATGAGATTGAAGTAATGAGTAAAGGAGACTTTGAAACGCTTATGAAAGACAGTGAGGAGGTCATACATGAGAACAATAATGAAATAGTTCATGCAATAAGGAGGTCATACATGAGAACAGTGTTGAAATAGTTCACGATGTCGTTTGTGAAGAAGCCATTGCAACAAAGAATGAGATAAAGGATTTCATAGAACTTAACAAGGAGGAGTTTAAAGAAGGCTATGAGGTGAAAAGATGTGAAGAAGATTTCTTGGCGTATTTGAAGAAAAAGAGACTAAAGTCAATGGCTCAAAATAAGTTTCAATCGATGTTTGAAAAGAAACGTTTGAGCTATGGTGGTGTAAGAAGCACATATTACTTTGTTAAGAAGTGAGGACATTTATTTTTGTCGTTAGTGTTGGAGTTTGTGTTTGTTGTTAGTGTTTGTCATTTGTGCTGAAGTTAGTACTTGATGTTAGTGTTGGAGTTTGTGTTTGTTGTTAGTGTTTGTCATTTGTGCTGAAGTTAGTACTTGATGTTAGTGTTGGAGTTTGTGTTTGTTGTTAGTGAGAGAATAAATTAAATCATGAACTTTGCCATGGTCTCTGTCCCTAGTAGTTTTCATTAAGTTCTGGAAATAATGAAAGTCATAAACTTTGCCATGGTCTCTGTCCCTAGTAGTTTTCATTATCTCACAGAGTTAATGAAAGTCATACTTTCTATCAGATGAAGCATGCAGATGAACATAATGAAAGTTAGTGAGTTTGCCACGAGTTATGAATAAAATATTGGCATATTAGATGAGATAGCTGATGAAACAGATGAAGATAAATTAAATCTTGGACTTTGCCACACTCTGTCCCTAGTTCCTCAAAATCCTTGACAACGTTGCTTAGAAATTTTGGTTCAAAACCTCATCTGATTTTAATCTGTTATGCTACCTGTTAAGTTTCGCGAGATTATAAATGTCATGGAGTTATATAAAAAGGAGGGACAGCTAGGGACACTGGAAGTACTTGTAAGGCTATCTGTTAAGATTGCATGAAATACTAAAAAGTCATGAAATTCATTATCGCTGTGCTAGCTTCACCTTTGATTGAAATGACGACTAAAGTCACTGAAGCAATGAAACAAAAGTTTTTGGTAGAATACATTAAATCAGGAACTATTCCAGAAGGTTTTTACATTCATACTATGAAGGATGGTAGAGTTCAGTTTAGAAAGATAAAGCAACCATTAGATAGAGAAGGTATATTAAGGAAGATTAAACTTCATGAGGACAACATTGCTGAACTTAAGAAGAAGTTAGAAGAGTTGGAGAAAGGAAGAGAGTTATAAAGCAATGAATTCAACAAGGTTAGAAATGAGGGTAGAAATGAGGTTAGATCTACCCTTCTACCCTAAATTTATTTTTGCGCTATGTTTTCATACGTGTGAGGGTGGTGATATCATTAATTTTTAAATAAATGTGGGAACAAAAATATAACATTTCTACTCAGCAGGAATGAGACCCTTACTGACTATGTATTCGTTTAATGCTTGATGAAAACAATGGTACATATTATCGTATGGGTATACACAACGTCTGTTTCCATCGTCGTCGTATATGTAGAGCTCAAATCCAGTCCAACCTTCTTTTGTACAATATGTAGCTTTATTTAAGTATGCATTTATGTAGATAAGGCAATTTTCTTCATCGCTCCAGAAATAATTTTTGTTCTTTGTTGAAATAGTTTTCGTTCCTCTGCGACCATAAGGAATGTATGCAATGAACTTTGCGTCATAAGGGATTGTAATATATTCAGGGTTTCTTTCATCGTCAATGGGTCTGTCTTTGTTAAAATGCATGTTTCTCAGTTTTACTTGAGTTTTGAATAGTTCACGGAAACGTTCTGGGAAAGAGTCATAGTAAATGTAGTCGGACATGTCTTTGTAATGAAATAAAAAATTTAAAAAATAGAAATAAGGTTATTTTTATTTAGTGAGGACGGTAGGGAATTCGTTAGTGAAGTCGTTAGTGAAGTCGTTTATGTGTTAGATGGTTTTGTAAATATTTAAGGTTAAGTTGGTGTTATGGTTGTGTTGTAAAATATACGTTACTGGTTTCGTAAAGTGTCAAAACCGCTAAGTGGTGTACGGAGGCGCGCAGTGCCTCAGTACACAACTTAGAGATACTAACTAAGTTTAAGTAGCAGTTGTTGTCTAATGGAACTTTAACTTGTGTACCATCATTCTTTTTATAGCTTACATACATTTCATTGTTATTTTTCGGAATGAGTTTATACCGTGTACCATTTTCTAAGGACTGTACCAACTGCCATCTAAAATATTTATTTTCTTCATTGACAGAAAAGTCACCAACAATAGTTTCAATATTTTTTGTTCCTATCAAACTTTGGTATATTTCATTGACATATGTTTTATCTACTTTATTTTCAAGGCTAACGTTTAAGTCTGTTATTTCAGAAGATGTATGTGTATGTCCAACGGCACTTTTCCTGTTTAAGGTTTCTTGTAAGTTTGTAATATCAGATATAGAATGTGTATGAGTCTTATCTGCTTTTGTCTCTAATGTTTCCTTAAGACTTGGTATTTGGTTAATATAATGTATATGAGTCTTTTTAGAATATTCGTTTTCAGCTCTTGTCACTTCACTTGACATTTTATTGTCAACATATGTTTTGTCTGCTAGTTCAGGATGAGTATGTTCTTTTGTTGCATAAGCATTGTTAGCTCTTTCTTCTTCTTTTGCTATTGCATCGTCTACATATTCTTTGTCAGCTTTGTTGTCAACATCTGCTTTCAAAAGAAGTTCATTTATAGGTTTCTCGTTTAAAGTTCCTTTTGTTGGATTTATACAGACAGTATTGTTCTTCTTGTCTTGAAACAGAAACTCATCTGTCATTGGGTTTAATGTCAGTTTTAAGTCACCCCCCTTCAATGACTCAGATATCTTAGAATAGTTTGAAAAGTTTGTTGTGTTCTTATTTAGAGCTTGCATAATGAGTTGTCGGTTGTGTTGTATTTCTCTCATAGACGCTGTTTCATTTGACATTTTTATTATAGATAAAATATGCTTCCAATAGAAAAAGAAAATTCTAGAGTTGCTACAACTAAACCATTAGATGAACTTTTTACTAATGTCGGTCAAAAGTTTGAGACAGATACCGTAAAGCATGAAGGCTATCGTTTTGACTACCCATTAAGATGGTTAAGAGACCCATCTGTCACAAAAGCTATTGGCTTTCGTAGAATGAAGTTCATTTCAGAAGCCATACATGGTTTCCCATTTACGGTCGGTTTTGAAGTTCGATACTATAACAAAGAAAAACGTATGTATGAGAAATTTGAACAAGGAAAACTTTTACAAGTTAATTTGCTTATAAACTTAGAAACAACTCTTCAAGCTTTTCAAGAAAAAATAAACGATATCTATATTGAATATGCAAACCAGTTTAACATTGACGAAGGAGAATACTATCTCGATATTATTTATGACAGGAAAAATGCAACTGTTAAAATCAATAAAATAGAAGACCTTGGAGAAAACGTTTATATTTCTACAAAAATAAACAACTTGGCATGGTATAGATTTATGAGGATGTTAAATCAGCCTGCAGCATATCCAGTACACCCGGACTATTATGAAGTCGAAAACCCTAATGGAACATATGAAAATATTTTCGACCCAGATGCTATTATTGTTCATGCTTCATTTTCTGGCGCCCAAAACTCTTTCTTATGCTTGGCAAATGACTTTTACGAAAAACCTACAAAGTTATACGAACCACCAAGTGGAAGTATTTCAGACTTTCAAGTATGGTTTACTACAGATGGAAGAAAAAGAATAATTCCATTATACCATGCGTTTTTACTTAGAACTTAGTTTCATATACAACTACTATCGAACGGTAAAAATATAAACTTTTTAATATACCGGTTGTGGTTGCCAACTGACTGTGGTGCAGGTTCAGGCTGTTGTATTACAGGAGCTTGTTCTTCTGGTTCAGGGTCTTTAGGTATAATACCAACAAACTGGCCTACTCTTTTACCAATATTTTTGACACCGTTCCATACTCCTCTTCCGACAGATTTTATTCCATTCCATATACCTCTTCCAACATTTCGAAAGAAGTTTCCTATCTTACTGAAGAAACCCATTTTACTATATGTAAAAATCTAATGTCCGCCTAGTCTCTTACGTTTCCTGTTGAGTTCCATAGCATTCTTTAACTGGAGCTCATACATTCTGTTTCTCCTCTGGTAGAAACATATTCTGGGTCAACTCCTGTGTTCGCGTCATCTGCATAAAGTTGTTTATATCCCACTTCATGGTTTGTATAAAACTCTTTTCATCTCATATTTGCATACCATAGTGGCAAACCTAACGCAGCGTCATTTGACATGGCAGTTTGCATTTGTACATCTGTTGGCACTTGACCATAGTTTGCCATTGCAGTTTGTATTCTAACTTCATTTGGAAAATTCTCTGGGTTTGGTTGTCCAGGTTGCTGTGCATTCGCTAAATTCTGTGCGTCCATTTAATATTAGATAAAAATATCTCTTACGAGTACATATGCTGAACATTTGCAGGCATTTTCATCTTCATATTCTCTGTACTTTCTGCCACGTCAAATAAATAAATGACACAATGGAAAAACCTAAAACAAGTAGTCCTATTTCAAACCACATTTACTTACTAATAAAATTTCTTTGTTATGACACTTTCTCCAGTTTATAGGACCTCTCTCATATTCTATCTTGTCATATATAAACTCATAGTCATGTATGTCCTCTAACCATCTCATAACGGTTTCCAAACCACTTTTATCGGATGTAAAGTAAAAGCATGGATGGTTATGTATAACGTCTAAAGTTTCTAAAGAGTCTCTCAAAGTCCAGTCTACTTGGTATTGAAAATCCCATGTTATAGAACGGCGGGTCCACTATAAAGAAAACATTTTCCTTGTCTTTATATTTTTCATACAAATCTGTCCAATGACATCTCACAAACTCTATACCCTCAATATATTTTTCTATGTCCTCTTTGAAAACATTTGTATAGTTAAGATATAAAACTTTTGACATAAGTGTTTCAATGTCATGAACTCTTATAGAACCACTATATAATAGTCTAGCAGATATACTATCCCAGTCTATATATTCTGCTTTTTTCAAAACCTCTCTCACAATATTTTTCTTATCTAATGGTATACGTTTCATCTTACCTATAGGTATCTTTTCTTTTAACTCTTTCAATATATTGTTTGTGTCTGGAATATGTTTGAGACGGTCCATATAGTTGTCGAAGTCATTGCATATAATCTTTGAGTCAGGAAATATTGTATGGCACAAATGGGATATATAGAAACTTCCACCGAACAAATCTACAAATGTTAGACCATTCGGTAGTTTCTTAAGTTCTCTTAATATAATATCTTTACATCTACTCTTATTTCCAAAGAACGGTAACGGTGGTTTTGTAAAATTCATTTATATATAATAATAAAAATGTTTTTACCCGAAAAGTGACAGAAAAGTGACAAAACATGAAAACATATATAATTTGTGAAAAGTGACACATTATATAATGTTTTCGACCCAGAAGACTAAACAATTTTCCGAATAAAAACTTCATTTATACTAAACATCTTCGGGGCTAGAGGGCGCAACGCGCCTGGAAGCCCTCCGAATAAAAACTTCATTTATACTAAACATCTTCGGGGCTAGAGGGCGCAACGCGCCTGGAAGCCCCACTACTTTTTTTGAATCCAATCTAGATTTATGTTGAGTCGAACATATTAAAATGTCGTGGGAAAATTATTTTCAATTAATCCGAACTCTCTTTCAATTTTCCTATTAAAAGAATATCTCTACATCCAGAAAGAGCACATTGAAACTCTTTAAAAAAAAAAAAAAAAAAAAAAAAAAAAAAAAAAAAAAAGGAGTGGGGCTTCCAGGCACTTCGTGCCTTCTAGCCCTGAGGATGAATGAGTATAATGAAGTTTTTTTTTTTCTTGGGGTGGGCTTCCAGGGGCTGCGCCCCTTCTAGCCCACATAAATGAAGTTTTTATTCGGAGGGCTTTCAGGAGCTTTTCACAAAATATATATGTTTTCATGTTTTGTCATGATTTCATCGTAAATGTTTTGTCAAGACTTCTTCATCGTAAATGTTTTGTCAAGACTTCTTCGTAAATGTTTTGTCAAGACTTCTTCGTAAATGTTTTGTCAAGACTTCTTCGTAAATGTTTTGTCAAGACTTCTTCGTAAATGTTTTGTCAAGACTTCTTCTTCGTAAATGTTTTGTCAAGACTTCTTCGTAAATGTTTTGTCATGATTTCATCGTAATGAGCGTAAATGACCAAAAAATATATTTTATGTTAGAATGTTAGATCTAACACCTTTTCTAACATGTTTTCTAACATCGTAGAAAACTCATGAATTTCTTCGTATATGTTTTGTCAAGACTTCTTCGTAAATGTTTTGTCAAGACTTCTTCGTAAATGTTTTGTCAAGACTTCTTCGTAAATGTTTTGTCAAGACTTCTTCGTAAATGTTTTGTCAAGACTTCTTCGTAAATGTTTTGTCAAGACTTCTTCGTAAATGTTTTGTCATGATTTCATCGTAATGAGCGTAAATGACCAAAAAATATATTTTATGTTAGAATGTTAGATCTAACATGTTTTCTAACATGTTTTCTAACATCGTAGAAAACTCATGATTTCATCGTAAATGTTTTGTCAAGACTTCTTCGTAAATGTTTTGTCAAGACTTCTTCGTAAATGTTTTGTCGAAACTTCTTCGTAAATGTTTTGTCATGATTTCATCGTAAATGTTTTGTCAAACTTCTTCGTAAATGTTTTTGTCAAACTTCTTCGTAATGAGCGTAAAGGACCCAAAAATATAATTTATGTTAGAATGTTAGATCTAACATGTTTTCTAACATGTTTTCTAACATGGTCTAAAACTCTTGAATTTTCATGAATTTTCATGATTTCATCGTAAATGTTTCGACAAAACATAGACAAGAAAGTTTGACAAAACATAGACAAGAAAGTCTTGACAAAACATAGACAAGAAAGTCTTGACAAAACATTTACGATGAAGTTTGACAAAGTCTCAACAAAGTCTTTACGATGAAGTTTGACAAAACATAGACAAGAAAGTTTTGACAAAACATGTACGATGAAACCTTGACAAAAACATATACGAAGAAGTCTTGACAAAACATATACGATGAAATCATGAAAATTCAAGAGTTTTAGACCATGTTAGAAAACATGTTAGAAAACATGTTAGATCTAACATTCTAACATAAAATATATTTTTGGGTCATTTACACTCATTTACGAAGAAGTCTTAACAAAGTCTTTACGAAGAAGTCACAATAAAACATCTGTCAAAAACCGCTTTTTAACTTCACTTAAAATGCCACGTAAGCTACGTAAGAATATACGTAAGAGGAAGAGAGCATTGAAACATCCAATAGTAAGACTAACACCACAACAACAGTTGCAACAACAAATGCTGAATGACCCCACTATGTTGCAACAAATGTCAAGCAATCCTATGCTTTTAAACCGAGTTGTTGGTGCACAGAGTGGAGGTTTAAGAGCGGCACTTTTAGCGAAAATGGCAGGCTATGGTGGAGCTGCAGACGGAACAGCCTATAACCCTCAAAGTCAAATGAATTTGAGTTCACTCAAAAATCAAATAGCAGATGTCAAAAAGTCAAACATAGACATACAGAAGCAAATAGGTGAAAACGAAAAGAAACTAGAATATGACAGACACACAAAGAAACTCAATGAGTTAAACGTAGAGAAAAAGAAGAAAGAAGAACAACTGAAAGAACTAAGTACAGAGGAATATGCGAAAAAAGTGTCAGAAAAAGCAACAGAAGTAGCAAAAATGGAACAAGATGTCATAAATTTGAAAAACCATACTACTCAATATAAAATACTGAAAGATGAAGAGATAAAACAAAAAGCCCTGAAGACATATATGGATAGCGATGAGTATAAAAAAGAAGTTGAAGCAAATGTAAAGGCAGAAAAACTTTTACAGTTGCAAAACCAAACCGTACAGTATGAAAACTTAGCACAAGAAAGTAAAAATAACGACGCGGCTATGCAAAAGGCAATGAAAAGCGCAGAATATATAAAAGCTAACAATGACTGGTTAGATGCCCAAGCCAACGCTAAAGCAGCCCAGCTTATAGGGTCGATAAGGACAAAAATACAAGCGGATGAAGATAGTTCAAATGAAGCTTTAACAAATGCTGACTTTAAGAACGCTTTCGAAGCTCTTCATAGTAAGGTGAAACAAGTGAACGACTTCTCATCTGGAAAGAAACTGAAGTCTGAAGGTTTCGACAAAGAGTTAAGAGAAGTAGCACAAAATATGACGAAAATAACAGATGCAGCAACGAGACAGGCAGTTCAAAGTGCCTATGACGCCGTTAGAGCAACTGTTGTGGAAAGTCAAGAAAAAGAGTTACAACAGACCAAAACAGACCTAGTAAATGCTTTCTTAAAAACGAAAAGTCAGGTAGGACATTATGCTGCAGATGGAACATATGTGCCAGCTGGTGGAACTTATATACCACCAAACCCTCCAAGAGAAGCACCTGCACCAGGACTACCTAGAACATTTACATCGTCACATGGACATAGACACAGGCATGCACCAAAACCAACACAACAACCAACAGTTCAAAATCCAGCACAACAACAACAACCAACAGTTCAAAATCCAGCACAACAGCCACCTCCACAACCAACAGTTCAAAACCCTGCACAACAACAACCACAAACAGAACAAGGACATAAAAGAAGTAGAGAACAAGGAAACCAAGAATTCTTAAAAATGCTTAAAGAAGAGTGTGGTTTCTCAGATACTGTTGACTTTAGTGACAGATATAAAGAAGCTATTAGAAAGTTCAAGGATGGAAATACTGACCCGAACCTATTTAGCTTTATGGCTCAGCACCAAAACGGATATAATCTCAAACCTGGAAAATACAAGCTCGCTAAGGGATATGATTTAATAGCATATCATCCAAATGACATGGATGAATTTACTCCGAGATATTTGATGTCAGAGCTAAATGACAATTCAACTTTCGTCATGAAACGCGTAAAAAAGAGAGACGGAACGAAAGAACAAAAGCTTATGAATGCGGATGACGTAGATAGGGAAATTGTTAAAAACGGTCTCGGAATATATGAAATGCCAGCAGATGAGGTACAAGAAACTCCACAGGAAGAAGTTCAGATACAACCAGACATGGAAGAAATAGTTCAGCAACAACAGCTAGAAGAGCCTGAAGGAAACGAACAAGTCCCTCCTTTGGAAACTAACTTCACAGAACTAGATGAAGATTTGGAACAGCCGAAAAATCTTGACCCTCAACAAGAGCATGAGGTGAATATGGAATCTTTCCAAGAGTCTAAGAAAGATTCGGCTGACATAGTAGAAGAATATCGAAAAATGTTTGCCGACATACAAAAGACTCCAACACCAGATGAAAATATTCAGCATAGAATGAAAGTACTGAAAGAAAATGTACACAAATACAACAACCCTTTTTACTTACGAGCATTTAACGTTCAATCTTCGGATGAACTCGGTGAAGATAAAAGGTTAAATTTCAAGAAAACATATAGAAATGAAACATTGTTTAAAGTTCATTCAGAACCTAACCAAGATGGAAACAAACCTACTTTTGTTTCTGCAGACGATGGAACTACAATGAGATGGGGTCATAAAGCTAATCCAGATAGGTGGTTCATAAACTTACAACCACAATTCCAAGAAGTTGTAGACGCAATGGAAGTGAATGGTGAACCAGATTTAGCTGGTATTTTCAGCGCGGCTTTAATGCCATTGAAAGATATGAAAGATGCAGATATTTTGGACCAGTATGAAATGAACATGGCTGATGGAAATATAACACCTGACGTTCTAGAACATTTATCTCAAAGAACTACACAGAACCATAGAGATGGTATATTTGGTGAAGAGTTTAGAAAGAAAGTTAGGGAGGGAGAAGGAAGAGAACCTATTGTACATGACCTTGCAAACGAAAGTTTACAAAATGTCATAAAAACTTACTTTGCAGGCGATGAATCGAGAAGGGATGAATATTTAAGAAAACTCAAATGGACAGTACCAAATGAAATGTTAGTATTGAAAAACATGTTCCTTGACAAAATAAAACCAACTACAGAAATAAACGACGCAAGACTGAAAGATTGGGTAGAAGCTTTCCCATTCACAAAAGATATAGTTGGTAACATGGAAAGAAAACCAGAATGGCTACAAAAACATATATTTGGAAACGAGCTTATTCCATATGGACAAGCTCTGTTTGAAGAGCTTGAACCAGAAACTCAGGAAAGAGTCATGCAAACAATACGCGAAGACTCAAATACAGACTATGACAAACTCTTTCTAGGATATAGGTTACCTGAGATGGGCGACCAGAGCCCAAAGGCAAAAAGGACATGGGAAATTTGCAACATACTAGATGAACATAATGCAAAGATGCAACAACTTCAAGCAGAGGGCAATGAAGGAAAAAGAAGAGTTAAAAACTCAGTCAGGAAGAAAGTAAAGCTTGGTCGGAGTGGGTTCTATTATGACATATAAATCCAACTATTCTATATTTTTACTCATATGAAATGTACGCCGCTCAGAATATAACGCCAACAGTTTTGGATGCTATGAATGGAAATGTTTCCGAATGGTATAACGAATGCGACAATGCCATTAGAAGGTCAGAAATAGTTCCTGGAACTTACGAATATACAACTGCTGTTTCTTATGGAAACGTAGGTGAGTTTGGAGAAGGTTCTTCAACAACAGTAGATATTGCTTGCGACAGGTTTCATATTATTTCTATTGACAACTCATTCTTATACGTGGAACAAGACATTGAAATAAAACCTTCTGCCAAGTTGTCTGACAAGAAAGGTTGCAATGGAATTTTCTATGTCGGATACCAATATGCTCCAGAAGTTTTCATGGGATATAAGATATATTCTAACTCTGACTTAGTTCAAACAGTAACATGGGCAAACTATGAATGGTTCGCTTTGAGAAACTCAGTACAACCACAAGCTAGAGAACAAACAGACCAATATGCAACTATTGAGAAAATAAGAAGACTTGACCCTAACGTTCCAGGAGTTTATGTTAACCTTTCTGGACAAACTGCAGCAGCAGTAACCAAAGTAAAACTGAAACTTAGAGTTCCTTTGTCATCTTTCCTCATCTTCAGGTTTTTAAGATACTTGCCAAACTGGGCAGGAAAAATTTCTATCGAACTCACCCCAAGCAAAAATAACTTAGTCATTGCACCAACACAAGACCCATTCACTCTTACAGAAGTAGTGGGAACAAATAAAATGTCATTCGCCGACTTTTGCAAAAACAAAGTTGACTTAGACTTTGGTTTCTCAAACCTCAACACTGAAGTAAACTATTATTTCAATGCTGCTGGAGATGCTTGGGACCCAGTTAAGTTCACATGCGAAAAATTTGAATGCAAGAGAATAGAAAGCAGACTTGCAGTCTATATGTTGGACCCAGATATTTCAAATGCTTTAGCTGCCAAATATATTGCAGTTCCACTTATGTTCCCTATACACCAAATATCTGTCAAAGACTTTGCAGGTGAAGTTGGAAACCAAAGTGCTGACCCAGGTGCAAGAACAGATATTGCCTTAACAACTGCAATGAAACATGCAGATACTATGTTTGTACTGTTCAGACGAACTATAAATGACTATTCTTGCTTCTACAACCCTGGTATTAAATATCATATAAACATAGATGGCAAATATTATCCAAGAGAAGAATATTCTACAGTTGAGGATATGAGGTCATACAACTTGACATTAGATGCTATGAACTTTAACAACAACTTCACAAACAACCATTAACCCTGAAATGCAAAGTTCTATTATGCCATATGTGAAAGTATGGACTCATACAGGAGCTCAAAAAACTCAATATACAAATGGAGACCGTTCAAACTTTTGGCTTGGCATTCCATTTGCTGACTCAGAAGACTTTATGGGTGGTATTTCAACTGTTGGTACAGTTCAAATACAATATACTGGTGACAGAGACGGTCCAGATGAATTGAAAGCAAAGAAGTTTACAAAACCAATAGCACTTTTCACGGAAGATGCTCTTTTGAAGATTCGTTCGATGAAACCTGCTGGGGCTCCTCAGATTGGCATAAACGACAGCTTCCATCGAGCAGATTTTGGCAGCAGGTCAGTAAGTTGTTCTTGAACTGACTTCTCTCCGTCAAATATTGACAGTACGCCAGTTTTGACATAAAATTGTAAGATAAACTTACCTTTAGAAATATCTGTAAGTTTTGTTGTTATATTTTTGTCAACGTCAAGAACTTTCACCATTTCAGTTATACCAACTTTCTTTGCTTTATGAAAATATTTTGGTTCAGCAAATATTGCTATTCTATAACATTTTCCATTGTTTGTGTAAAGAACTACTCTGTCAATGAACTTGTATTGTTTGTGTGTGTAAACTTTGTTTTGCTTCAATTCGAAGAGATACTCAAATACGTCCATCTTTTTATTCTAAGTAAAATGTCATTTCCGAAAAATAGAAGCGTAAGTGTTTCAAAAGGTTTAATGGCGGTGGCAGATGTGAAGTTAAATTCACCAACTCAAACAAACAGTCAAAGTGTTGTTGTCAATGTCAAAGAAAGAGATGTTGAAGTGGGGAAACCATACGAAGACGAAGATGGTATAACAATAGTTCCTGTCAAAGAACAACCAACATACCTGAAGTTAGCAGAGACTTAAGTTCTGTTGCAGATATTCGAAACGACTACCAACAACTGAAAGACAAACTTAAAACTCAGGAGAAGATTTGTCAAGCTTTGGGTATAATGTTAAACTTGGTTGAGCACAACCCTGTAAAAGTGAACTCATATGTCATCGCACCTCGTGAAGTTTTGAAAGAACTATTGAAACTTTTGACAGAGGCAGACGATATAAACATCAAAGAAATAGAACCCGACATTGCTTGCTGTGGTGTTTCATACAATGTCATTGACAAAATATACGTTATGAAAGGAGGTGAAACGTTGAACTTAAAATATAGTTTCCCAGACGTTATAAAAATATTTGACGACCACAACATTTCATTAAAATTTACTTGCTAAGTAAAAATGTCAAAACTTCTTGAAAGATGTTTGAAGAAAAAATAATATAGACTTTATTTCATGTAAAGGACTTTACACACTTTTGAACGATATGAAAGACCCTGTTTTGTTTGTTCGTGTAGACAAAGGAAAGTTCTATGTCTTTACAAAATATTTGAACTTCTTAGACAGAGAACTTCAAGAAACGCCATGTGAAAGTTTAGATGAAGTTCTTCTCCACTTTCAGAAAAACTTTTAAATATATGTAAATGGCAGAAGACATAGTGGTTTATACTATTACGACTAAAAACCCTGAGTCATATAATTCTATAACAACAAACTTACAAAGTCCTCAAGGACGATATTGTAAACTGACCTTAAACACGATGACGACTAAAGCCTGTTTTGCTCTTTGACACCAGAAGACTTTGTTGTTGTGAATGGTAAAAAATACTTCTTTGAAGATACTTACTCAGATATACCACCAACAGGTTTTTGTTGACTTATTTAATACTTTAAGGACGGATGTAACATGTGCTGCAACTAGAGCAGGTTTCATTATGTTTGGATGTCCGACTGAGTTTAGTATAAACGATATGAGCTATAATACAAAACTTATATCTGGTTTTTACTACCAACAGTTTCCTATAACAGGAAAAGGTGTCATACAAGGTTTGTCTGTTCCATTGACTTTAAGTACACCTATTTTATATATTGTTTCAAACTTAGGTTCAAAGTGCTATTCGAATATCGACAGAAACTACTATGACCAAAAGATACTCATGCGTATAAACAACACTTTCTCTGCTGGTTTGCCTATTGTTCATTCGAATGCAGAGTTTTCAGCTTTAGTAAACTCAAACACTTTAGCAAACATAAACTTAACCTTAGTCGACGCAAACTTTGTTCCTGTAAAACTTTTATGTCCTATGTATTTGTCAATGACGGCAGAAAGTTTCGAATTGGAAGATGCAACTGGTGAAAGTATTGTACTACAAGAACAACTTCAACAACAAATAGCTCAAGAACAACAAATGCAACAAATGGAAAAATGCAACAACAAAGTCAAGAATAAAAAAATATATTTTTTTTATTTTTATAAAAATGTACAGAATAGATGTTTCAGATTTTTATGACTTCCAAGCATTCAGAAATATGTGTCCATTTCGAGACTATAACAAAGCAGTCGAGAATTTGAAACGTTTAGTCATTTATGTCGACTCTGCCCCAGAATGTTATGTCATGAAAGAATGGGATGTTGTCTTTAACAAACCAAGAGCAACCATAGTTTCAGAACAAGAATGTAGACAGAAACTTAAGAAAATAAAAGTCGTACAGGTTGGCATGAAGATGTTAGATGCTTGGGATATCTTATTGTCGA